GGGGGGGGGGGGGGGGGACTCTAGGGAGCCAGGGATCACAATCCAGCCTCCTGTAGGTGTCTTGGGCCCAACTAGACCAAACGCTGAGTAAAGGAGGTTCCCACTTCAGCCCAAAGACATGCTGGTCAGCTCTGCTCACCAGTCCATAAGGGATCCCAATTTAACTGTTAAAGTTAGGGAGATATCCACTGGGTCTCTTGTTGTGTTGTTTGTATAAGCACAAGCTTGTGGTGTTCACTCTGAATGGGGCTGAATGTGGCCGTGCAGAGGGGGGAGTCTGAGGTACACCTGTGATTTATGAAGGGGAAACTGTATGCTGGTGTGTGTGTTTGTGCTTTAATTAATCTGGATTTCTTTTTTTGTTTGTGGCTTTTGGGTGTACATATAGATCCTATCCAGTGAGAGCCCGGGTCTTTCAAAAAGACAGACATTTTTGGGGTTTTTGGACTCTCCAGAGCTGTAACCTAAGCTGTAACCCCCCCTACCCTCTGAATGTGTGTGACTGTCCTGCATGTTACTGAGAGCCTGCTGCTGTCTCCCAGGGTTCTACCTGATCTCCCCATCCGAGTTTGAGCGCTTCTCTGTGTCCACGCGCTGCGTGGTGGAGCCTCGCTGTCTGGTGGAGCCTCCTCTCCGTTCTGATGGACTGTCATCTGCTCCCAGGTAAACACACATTCCCACATTCTCATTGTTCCTTTTTCTGACAAATTCATAAGGTTTCCTCCTCCCTCTTCTTCTAGGAGCCCACCAGCTGAGGATGCAGGTAACGTGTGCTCCACCAGTCCCCTTAGAGCCCAGACCTGCATGTGGCTTTGGCCTGGCCAGCACAACGTGCCTACATGTAGAGTTGTGTTTGCTGTTGCAGTGTGTGTGCTGCTCATGTGCCCGTGTTGTTACACACCTTGCTTGTGGCTGTTTGTACTGATGTCATTTGTCCTCTGCCTGCTGCCTGTTTGTTTGTTCCAGAAAATGCAGCTAGACGTGTTATGGAGCATGCTTTGCTGAATGACGAGAGTGAGTACTCAAAGAACAGAGGAGAGGCTGTGATCAAACCTGGAGCTGTAGAGTTTCTCTAGAGTTTCTGTAGAGT